CAGGACTAGCTGGAGTCCAGCATGCTCCAGCCATGCCTCCTTTCTCCTCCCACATGCTCTGGTATGCCCCAGCGCACCTCCACACCAAGGGTGGCAAAGGGGTAGCATAGAGTCTTTCCGACATCTCTCTGTCTGCAGGATCTGTTCTGCCCAGTGTCTAGCTGCTTTATGCCAAAACAGCATAAAGAGGCCACAGTGCAACACAGAAGCTGACCCTAGATTTATTCTGTTCTGGTTTTACTACAGAGTGATGTGGGATCCTACAGAATTGAAATTACGTAACACCTGCTTCCTGTAATCTTTCCACTATTAAAGAGACATTTTCAAGGCAGTAGACCTAAAATAAGACCCACCATGCTTTGTTTTGATTCATGTTTGCTCTCAGGGTTATAGGACTCTTTCTCCACCCTATCTATCAGCTCTTTTCTTGTAAGCAGGTAGGCTGGTGCCTTTGGGGATAGGTTAATATGATGTCTGATTAAATTGTCTTGATCTGGAATTCCTCAAAGTAGCTTAATTTTTGGGCCTTAACCAATGCATGGTGGGCACAGAACCTTCCGATATTCTACAAGAATAGATGGGGAGGACTCTGAGTTACTAGTGAGAATTCTTTCCCAGGTGTCTGGCTGAGGGTTTTGCCCACATGATCAGGATCTAACTAATTGCCATATTTGGGGCTGGGAAAGAATTTTCCCCCAGGTCAGATTGGCAGAGACTCTGAGGGGTTTTTTCCTTCCTCTGCAGCATGGGGCACGGGTCTCTTGTAGGTTTAAACTAGTGTAATATGGTGGATTCTCTGTAACTTGAAGTTTTTAAACCATGATCTGAGGACTTCAGTAACTCAGCCAGAGGTTAGGGGTCTATTATAGGAGTGAGTGGGTGAGGTTCTGTGGCCTGCAATGTGCAGGATGTTAGACTAGATTGTCACAATGGTTCCTTCTAACCTTAAAGTCTATGAGTCTAAGAAAGTATTTGATATTGTTGCTGTTTGTCAAGAAACCAGTGGAGCCATTAACACAGGGAACAGTGACCTCCCTGTCAGTGATAATATACCCAAGGGGCTGCTTTTGAGAGATAAGCCACATAGTTGTGTTCCTGAAGCTTTGACAGCACATGGGCTGCCTTGTAATCTTTACTGAAACCAGAGACATAAAGTGCAGCTTGCTTGTTAAAGTTGCTGCTGCCAGTGGCTGAAACAGATGTCTTTCTGAATGACACCCAAAGAGGCCTGGCACGATTGAGGTCTAGGGTTCTTCATAGTTGAGAATACATTTATACTATGTCTCTTGGGTGACCTTTTTAAAAGTGATGTTATGAAGATGAGGACACTCTCCCCATCTCTCCAGTGCACTAGGACAACAAGATCTTAAAAGTATTTTGTGATATGAAAGTTCCTGTTGTTACAAAGCAACGGAAATAAAAATACCACAGAAAAATTAGAAAATTGTTTTAGGAGCAGAAGTGCAGTTCACTAAGGAGACTCCTCCTCCTGGCCTCAGCCATGCCAACTGAGAGCAACCCCTTAGCCACCAGGTGCGATATAGCAAGTTAAACCAACTTCCTGAGTTTCAGGAATTCCCCTACATCAAATGAATTCCCAGATGCCCTGGTTAGGATGGATCTCGGCCTCCTTAGCATGGCCAGAATGGCACAAAGTGACTAAAGCACAAGTTAGAATTTAGCCTGCCCTTAAATTTAAAATTGACTTTCCTGAGCTTGTATTGCTTTATCATGCAACATTACACCACTCTCAAAAATATAGGAAAACAAAATATGGAACATTTGGTGACATGTTGAATAAAACCTCTGTAAACCAGGGACACAACAAATGATCCTCTCCAATAAGGTAAGCAGAGAAAAGCACTCTTTAAGCTAACTGAAGGCCACCTTTTTGAAAACAAGACGTGACCTTGCACAGCTACATTTGTGCATACTTTTACTGCAGTTGACACACAATTGTTAAGTCTTAATTAATTCTAAAAAATAATTATTTTGCTGTTCCAGGTGATGTATCAGTCACAAATTAAAATCTGCACTACCCGCCTCTCTCCTCATCTGAGTCTTGTTATAACAAATCTTCCATTGTAGCAATTCCCTATGGGATAAATTGGTGTATCTCTAATCTTGTTCCAAAAGGCAATGAGCCACTAGCAGCAGTAATATAATATCTGTGCATGGTGGGCGGACTTTTCATTTGCTTTTGTTTTTTAGTATTGTTTCTATTAATAATGCAAACATTCACTGAGAGATTATATAGTTAATACTTTACTCAGCAATAGGAAGATTTTTATAAATCAGTAAGCCTCACCATGGAAAGATATGGGCAAGTTCCTTTTGATGTTTGCTTTGAGATAAGAGCAAAGGTTGTTAACATGCTTTACTATTACTTGTTTTCTCAGAGGGGAAGGTTTGTGTCATGTTATTTTGTGTCTGATTTGGCAGTCCTTTTGCAAGTAAAACTCCCAGAGAACAAAGAAATAGCAAAGAAAATATAAATCAAATTAATGCATATATGTGTAATGAAATTTCATTTCCAGTTCACAAAAAACTCTACAAACATATGCTCATCTACTTTAGGTTTTAATGGACAGATAAATATCCAATAAAACAATGTGTCACATCATCATGTATAGGCATCAACATACTATAAGTAAATAATCAGAATAAATTAGTTTGTGTTCAGAAGTATTTTTCCAGTATGATGAACAAAGGGGACCATATCATCATTATATCAACTTTGGTTAAAGTAAGTTATTTTCTCTGTAACTGAAATGTTACCCACATTGGTGAGCTATTCATGAATGGTACATGCTGTACTTGTTCTCTTTCAAAAAAATCTTCCTCGAACACTCATCCTTGCCATCAAGAAGTGAGTCATCAACAGCATTAATTCTTACCCCAGCACCTAATTTAGAAAAACCCAGTAGAAAACTCTTTGGCTCAAGCAGCAGCGTAGTCTCAGCAATATCTTCTATGGATTACTAATATTTCATACTTGATGGATGATCCCAGAATAAATCTAAAAAATCCTAGCTGAACACATTTACACTAGCAAGCTGATGACTTGTATTCATATGATGTAATGCTATAAATGGACTAATATAAGGGCAGCCCTTACAGATGTTTAAATCCCATTAGAATCAATGGGAGTTTTGTGTGAGTAATTGCTGAAGTACTGACCACACAATAGATAAATCACCCTATTTTCTATCACAACACATTATTGGACTTTTAGTGCTCCACTTATTTCATTACTCCATTTTTCTGTGTAACCAGGTTGTCCCCATTAAACCATCCTCAAGAAAGATTCTCGCTTTTCATACCTTCCACTGCATCCTTTCAAGGCAGAAGTTCAGTATCCATAATCTCTCTCAAACTATTAATCATATTACCAAGTCAGGAGACAAAATAATTTATCTGGAAACATTTAAAATATTGGATCTTGATATTTAATCTTTCTTCTAACTGAACAGTAAAAATGCCCTCTTTAAAGAAATCAGCCTATCTTTCTGTCCATAGACGCCATAACTTAAGGTGTTTTCCTCTTTGGGGTTTGAAAATGTTATTTAAGTGTGTAAATTCGGGTGCATACAGGCAGTTTTTTCATGCATTGTACGTTGACTTGTATAGTCCAAAGGCCTGATTCCCCTCTCACATACGCCAGGGTAAATCAGGAGTCATTAACCTGAAATCAATGAAGTTATATGGCTATCAAACCCACATGAGCCATGGCAGAACCAGGCCTGAGATTTTTAAAGCAACTTTACTAAAAATATTTGCCACCCTACGATATTTTATATTAACAAAGAGATTATGTGAACTCTTGTCTTAGCAATTTCCTACAGTAACCGACCGGCACTGGACAAGTTTTCTAAATCATAAAGGAAGAGCGCTTGTAGCTCAGAAATGCAATTGCAAATCGCAAAACCCAACAACACATATTTTAACTGGTTTTCGAAAGACCAACCAGTTTATTCGAGGTATTTTACCTCTTCAAACAAACACATCAAGAGCTAAAATTAACTAAGAATATATCGTTTTAGAGCCAAAATCAACTCTCGTTAGTGTTAATGGGTTTTCCAAAGGAAGCATGATCAAGCCCTTTTAAAAAGATCCTGATTTTCAACATCCCATAAACCTGCCAGCCATTCATTAGTTAAGCTGTTACTTCTCTTATTTATAATGGGTGCAAAGTTTAACTAGTGCAAACTGTCAGGTGAAATCCTCCATAAAAGCATATTGTAGCTGTACATTTTAGTTCTCTATATAAATACAAATACATGAAACGTATATATAAATCCTGTACTTTGTGCAATACATATGTACACAGAGCACAGACAGGTATATGTATGTACATATGCATATATTTATATAGGAAACCGGTGTGGTATATGTGGATTTATACACAGCACAATCCCCATTTTCATTAATGTTTTGGGGAAATTAAAATCATTTGTGTAAAAGGGGATTCAAGGATTCAGAAAATCAGATATGTTAACAGGTAACTGATATACCTGGGGATGTGTAACCTAGATTTAGAGAAAAATGGTATTGTGTACTAAACAGGTTTGGATAAATGAGCTCTTGTGTATGTATGTGTATTATATATGGTACATACACATACATCCAAACTTCTAAGCAAAATGAACTTGTTTCCCTCTCCATATTCTAGCTCTTGAGCTCTTTAACTATTCAGCCATCAGTCTTACATGAGTTTTCTCCCTAACTTAATAAAATACATTATTATTTTGGACATCTAATTTTGTTGGTAACTTAAATGCAGTGGGGAACTCCAGGCAAATCACAAAACATTTTCTTTCTCACTGTTGGTCAAACCAGCTTCAGAATCTAACTCATTAGTTGGTGGCAGAATAGCACTTCCACTATTGTTTTTCTCACCTCTCCTCTCCCTGGCACAGGGAAGGAAACCGGTCACTAAATTAGACAGTTTAAAAAAATACAATTCCATCAATAAGGTTGAAATGTCCCAGTTGACTTACCCAGTGGATCTCAGTCCGTGCAAAAGGCAGCGGCAGTGAAAAAGTTTACGGGTGATACAGACAGGTACTGGGAGTGCAGCTGGAATCAGGGGAAGAGCAGTGAGTGGCAAGTGTAGCAGTGATCCCAGCCTTTTATGCAGCTCAAAGGAAGGTGAAGTCTCACCAGTGGCTCATCAGGCTTTCTGTAATATCAAGGGCTAATCCACAGGAAACCCCTCCTTTCTCTCCCGCACAGAGCCTTGCAAAGGACAGTCACCTCCCCTCCTCTTTGCTGCTGAAATGAGAGAGGCTCTCAGTCCAGGGGCAGGGACAGAGGCACATGCAGCTCCTAATCTTAGCTGTTCTAGCTCAGGGTGCCACAAATGAACTAAAGTGCATCGGAGCAGGAATTCTGCAACATCTCATCCCCCCACAGTTCTGAGCCCTAGTTCAGTCGCTGCCAGTGGCAGTGTGCCTGAGGACACACCACCAAACAAAAGACACGCTAGTGTTGACTTTCTGACGTACTACAGCAGTGTCACCAACTGTGGACTCACAAAGATTCCACCAAACGGGCTAATTATTAGTATGTATTATGTGCCCACAATGCACATGGTACTGACTGCAACTCGTTGTGGGGTGTTTTCTCTACTCTGTCTACCAGCCCTTCTTCCCCAGTGCTGAACATATTGTACCTGTAAGTGTAGACAAGGCCAAACCATGTTCAATAGCATTTCAGTAACCATGGTTAAAACTAGATTGGAGCAAACCTGGTCACTCTTCCTGGTTAACCATCTCCAGGACCAGTGCAGTAGTACCTGTAAATGACACCTGTTGTCAATTCCTTGGTCTGGTGAAATGTGTGGGTCAAATGATGCAAACTTCTTTCAGAGACTGTATGCAGTCCTCCAGATCTAGGACTGGATCCTCAGGTGTACTGAAACGCCATGTTATTTCATCTCTGTGTCCTCAGAACCTGGGGGCTACAGGGCTGCTCTAACATAAGCTGGCAGGAACAGTCCCCCAAGGGCCATTACACTGAAAGGGATAACCGGAACACAGCATGCTCAGGCCATACCTCCTCAAGCTGCCACATCTGTCTCACTCTAGAAGACCCCGTTCGTTGGCTTTGCACCACCAGGGGATTCTCTTGTGACAGAGAAATACCCAACTGCCCCTTCAGTCGAGTCCCCTTTATGCCACCACAGCAGTACAGAGGGGACTTAGCCTGTTGGGTATGAAATGTTATATTGTTCATGGTTTATTAAGTTACATGTGTGTATTAGACCCAATAATCAGTTTCTAAGGATATTGCAGCAATCCAAGATGGACTCTTGTGACACCATTTTGTGACCCCACTATGCACTGTCAGCTTGGCCTGGAAGTAACTGGATTAAACTGTTTTTTCCTGCCTCTCGGCGATCTCAAGGCCAAACCGCCTCAGACTGTTTTCCGTCTTTCCCAGGAGCATACCATGTTTTCCTGCCACAAACTGTATAAAAGGACTGTAATCACAGACTGGTGGTGCAGTCCATCTTGGGTCTTCCTGGCACCAGCACACTATCGAAGAATACCATTCATTCCTGAGGTGAGAAGAAAGAGGAAGCCGCATTCCACCTTACTTGCTCCTGTTTCTGGGACTGTCAGCAACCAAAGGGTTCTCGGTCTATTTCTTCCATCCCAACGGTCATCGAGGGACTCTCCAGTGCTCCTCCTCTACGGGTTCCAGTTACTCACGGAGTGGAGGTCCTGGACTTCGCCACCACGGAAGTGCTGGGAATATAGTGAGACATAATAATTAGGTTTTTCTTAGTTGGGGTTACGTTTTCAATTGCCAGGGTGGGTTCTGTATTTTTGGGCCTGAGCTTTATGCTCATAGGAAGAGCTGCTGTGTCACTGGCTTTGTGTTTGTTTATATAGTTATTGCTCATTTACATTTATCCCTTCCCTTATCTGTAATTTATCCCTTAATACACTTACCTGTTGTTTTACCCTTATTTCTGGTCAGTCTTTATTATTTGTGCACATAGGGAAGAGGGAAGGAGATCTACACCAGTCCACCGGTGACAGATACGGCAGAGGGCGGGTCTGCTCTTCTGAGAAAAAGGAGCTTGTTTATACTCTGTTACCTACACCCATTTACTCAATAAGCCCTGGTCTACACTAGGACTTTAGGTCGAATTTAGCAGCGTTAAATCGATGTAAACCTGCACCCGTCCACACAATGAAGCCCTTTATTTCGACTTAAAGGGCTCTTAAAATTGATTTCCTTATTCCACCCCTGACAAGTGGATTAGCGCTTAAATCGACGTTGCCGGCTCGAATTTGGGGTACTGTGGACACAATTCGATGGTATTGGCCTCCGGGAGCTATCCCAGAGTGCTCCATTCTGACCGCTCTGGACAGCACTCTCAACTCAGATGCACTGGCCAGGTAGACAGGAAAAGAACCGCGAACTTTTGAATCTCATTTCCTGTTTGGCCAGCGTGGAAAGCTGCAGGTGACCATGCAGAGCTCATCAGCACAGGTGATCATGATGGAGTCCCAGAATCGCAAAAGAGCTCCAGCATGGACCGAACGGGAGGTACGGGATCTGATCGCTGTTTGGGGAGAGGAATCCGTGCTATCAGAACTCCGTTCCAGTTTTCGAAATGCCAAAACCTTTCTGAAAATCTCCCAGGGCATGAAGGACAGAGGCCATAACAGGGACCCGAAGCAGTGCCGCGTGAAACTGAAGGAGCTGAGGCAAGCCTACCAGAAAACCAGAGAGGCGAACAGCCGCTCTGGGTCAGAGCCCCAAACATGCCGCTTCTATGATGAGCTGCATGCCATTTTAGGGGGTTCAGCCACCACTACCCCAGCCGTGTTGTTTGACTCCTTCAATGGAGATGGAGGCAATACGGAAGCAGGTTTTGGGGACGAAGAAGATGATGATGAGGAGGAGGTTGTAGATAGCTCACAGCAAGCAAGCAGAGAAACCGGTTTTCCCGACAGCCAGGAACTGTTTCTCACCCTAGACCTGGAGCCAGTACCCCCCGAACCCACCCAAGGCTGCCTCCTGGACCCAGCAGGCGGAGAAGGGACCTCTGGTGAATGTACCTTTTAAAATGCTATACATGGTTTAAAAGCAAGCATGTGAAAGGATTACTTTGCCCTGGCATTTGCGGTTCTCCTAGATGTAGTCCTAAAGCCTTTGCAAAAGGTTTCTGGGGAGGGCAGCCTTATTTCGTCCTTCATGGTAGGACACTTTACCACTCCAGGCCAGTAACACGTACTCGGGAATCACTGTAGAACAAAGCATTGCAGTGTATGTTTGCTGGCATTCAAACAACATCCATTCTTTATCTCTCTGTGTTATCCTCAGGAGAGTGAGATATAATTCATGGTCACCTGGTTGAAACAGAGTGCTTTTCTTCAGGGGACACTCAGAGGAGCCCATTCCTGCTGGGCTGTTTGCCTGTGGCTAAACGGAAATGTTCCCCGCTGTTAGCCACAGGGAGGGGGGAAGGTTGAGGGGGTAGTCACGTGGTGGGAGGAGGCAAAATGCGACCTTGTAACGAAAGCACATGTGCTATGTATGTAATGTAAACAGCAAGGTTTACCCTGAAAGAGTGTAGCCACTGTTTTATAAAATGTGTCTTTTTAAATACCGCTGTCCCTTTTTTTTTCTCCACCAGCTGCATGTGTTTCAATGATCACAGGATCTTCTCCTTCCCAGAGGCTAGTGAAGCTTAGAAAGAAAAAAAAACGCACTCGCGATGAAATGTTCTCCGAGCTCATGCTGTCCTCCCACACTGACAGAGCACAGACGAATGCGTGGAGGCAAATAATGTCAGAGTGCAGGAAAGCACAAAATGACCAGGAGGAGAGGTGGAGGGCTGAAGAGAGTAAGTGGCGGGCTGAAGAGAGTAAGTGGCGGGCTGAAGACAGGGCTGAAGCTCAAATGTGGCGGCAGCGTGATGAGAGGAGGCAGGATTCAATGCTGAGGCTGCTGCAGGACCAAACCAGTATGCTCCAGTGTATGGTTGAGCTGCAGCAAAGGCAGCTGGAGCACAGACTGCCACTGCAGCCCCTCTGTAACCAACCGCCCTCCTCCCCAAGTTCCATAGCCTCCACACCCAGACGCCCAAGAACGCGGTGGGGGGGCCTCCGGCCAACCAGCCACTCCACCACAGAGGATTGCCCAAAAAAAAGAAGGCTGTCATTCAATAAATTTTAAAGTTGTAAACTTTTAAAGTGCTGTGCTTAAAGTGCTGTGTGGCATTTTCCTTCCCTCCTCCACCACCCCTCCTGGGATACCTTGGTAGTCATCCCCCTATTTGTGTGATGAATGAATAAAGAATGCATGAATGTGAAGCAACAATGACTTTATTGCCTCTGCAAGCGGTGATTGAAGGAAGGAGGGGCGGGTGGTTAGCTTACAGAGAAGTAGAGTGAACCAAGGGGCGGGGGGTTTCATCAAGGAAAAACAAACAGAACTTTCACACCGTAGCCTGGCCAGTCATGAAACTGGTTTTCAAAGCTTCTCTGATGCGTACCGCGCCCTCCTGTGCTCTTCTAACTGCCCTGGTGTCTGACTGCGCGTAACCAGCAGCCAGGCGATTTGCCTCAACCTCCCACTCTGCCATAAACGTCTCCCCCTTACTCTCACAGATATTGTGGAGCACACAGCAAGCAGTAATAACAGTGGGAATATTGGTTTCGCTGAGGTCTAAGCGAGTCAGTAAACTGCGCCAGCGCCTTTAAACGTCCAAATGCACATTCTACCACCATTCTGCACTTGCTCAGCCTGTAGTTGAACAGCTCCTGACTACTGTCCAGGCTGCCTGTGTACGGCTTCATGAGCCATGGCATTAAGGGGTAGGCTGGGTCCCCAAGGATACATATAGGCATTTCAACATCCCCAACGGTTATTTTCTGGTCTGGGAATAAAGTCCCTTCCTGCAGCTTTTGAAACAGACCAGAGTTCCTGAAGATGCGAACATCATGCACCTTTCCCGGCCATCCCACGTTGATGTTGGTGAAACGTCCCTTGTGATCCACCAGAGCTTGCAGCACTATCGAAAAGTACCCCTTGCGGTTTATGTACTCGGCGGCTTGGTGCTCCGGTGCCAAGATAGGGATATGGGTTCCGTCTATAGCCCCACCACAGTTAGGGAATCCCATTGCAGCAAAGCCATCCACTATGACCTGCACATTTCCCAGGGTCACTACCCTTGATATCAGCAGATCTTTGATTGCCTGGGCTACTTGCATCACAGCAGCCCCCACAGTAGATTTGCCCACTCCAAATTGATTCCCAACTGACCGGTAGCTGTCTGGCGTTGCAAGCTTCCACAGGGCTATCGCCACTCGCTTCTCAACTGTGAGGGCTGCTCTCATCTTGGTATTCATGCGCCGCAGGGCAGGGGAAAGCAAGTCACAAAGTTCCATGAAAGTGCCCTTACGCATGCGAAAGTTTCGCAGCCACTGGGAATCGTCCCAGACCTGCAACACTATGCGGTCCCACCAGTCTGTGCTTGTTTCCCGAGCCCAGAATCGGCTTTCCACAGCATGAACCTTCCCCATTAGCACCATGATGCATGCATTGGCAGGGCCCATGCTTTCAGAGAAATCTGTGTCCATGTCCTGATCACTCACGTGACCGCGCTGACGTCGCCTCCTCGCCCGGTATCGCTTTGCCAGGTTCTGGTGCTGCATATACTGCTGGATAATGCGTGTGGTGTTTAATGTGCTCCTAATTGCCAAAGTGAGCTGAGCAGCCTCCATGCTTGCCTTGGTATGGCGTCCGCACAGAAAAAAGGCACGGAACGATTGTCTGCCGTTGCTCTGACGGAGGGAGGGGCGACTGACGACACGGCTTACAGGGTTGGCTTCAGGGAGCTAAAATCAACAAAGGGGGTGTCTTTACATCAAGGAGTATTTCAGGCAGGACTTCACGGAGGGTTCCAATAAGAAATGGTGCACCTAAGTTATCGTTGTTATTGGAACAAGGAGGTTAGCCTGGCCTCTGATTGATACATGGCTAGATTTACCTCGCTGCACCTTCTCTGTCAGTGACTGCAGTGTGACCTAGAGGAATGAGTCCCCTAGACAGGGGAGGAGGCAAATGAGTACAAAAGAAATCTGGTCTATTTCTTGTTTTGACCCACTCCATCTATCTTTTACATCTTTGGCTGGCAGCAGACGGTGCAGAAGGACTGCATGCCATCCACATCTCATGGCTGCTCGGCAGAAGATGGTACAGTACGACTGCTAGCCATCCTCATCTCTTGCCTGCCTGGCAGAAGATGGTACAGTACGACTGCTAGCAGTCCGTATCGCCTGCCCGCTCACCATAAGACGGTTCAATAGGACTGACTGCAGGACTAAAGAGAATGACCTGGTCAAGTCGCTCCAAATTTAGTCCCTGCGCCCATGTCTGCCCAGGCGCTCCCAGCCGACGTGGCAGGAGCACCTCGGACACGACGAGGACGACTACCAGTCGTATTGCACCGTCTGCTGCCAGAAGGCAATGGGTTGCTGCTACTGTGCAGCAAAGCCGTACCGCGTCTGCCAGCACCCAGGAGACATAGGGTGACGGTTACCTGAGCTGGCTCCATGCTTGCCGTGGTATGGCGTCTGCACAGGTAACTCAGGAAAAAAGGCGCGAAATGATTGTCTGCCCTTTCTTTCACAGAGGGAGGGAGGGAACGGGGGCCTGACGATACGTACCCAGAACCACCCGCGACAATGTTTTAGCCCCATCAGAGTGCTCCATTGTGACTGCTCTGGACAGCACTCTCAGATGCCCAATTGTTTGCCGTTGCTCTGACGCCGGGAGGGGCGACTGAGGACACGGCTTACAGGGTTGGCTTCAGGGAGCTAAAATCAACAAAGTGGGTGTCTTTACATCTAGGAGTATTTCAGGCAGGACTTCACGGAGGGTTCCAATAAGAAATGGTGCACCTAAGTTATTGTTCTTATTGGAACAAGAAGGTTAGCCTGGCCTCTGATTGATACATGGCTAGATTTACCTCGCTGCACCTTCTCTGTGAGTGACTGCAGTGTGACCTAGAAGAATGAGTCCCCTAGACAGGGGAGGGGGGGAAGCAAATGAGTACAAAACAAATCTGGTCTATTTCTTGTTTTGATCCACTCCATCTATCTTTTAAATCTTTGGCTGGCAGCAGACGGTGCAGAAGGACTGCATGCCATCCACATCTCATGGCTGCTTGGCAGAAGATGGTACAGTACGACTGCTAGCAGTCCGTATCGCCTGCCCGCTCACCATAAGACGGTTCAATAGGACTGACTGCAGGACTAAAGAGAATGACCTGCTCAAGTCACTCCAAATTTAGTCCCTGCGCCCATGTCTGCCCAGGCGCTCCCAGCCGACGTGGCCAGGAGCACCTCGGACATGACGATGACGGCTACCAGTCGTACTGTACCGTCTGCTGCCACAAGGCAAGGGGTTGCTGCTACTGTGTAGCAATGCCATACCGCGTCTGCCAGCACCCAGGAGACATAGGGTGACGGTTACTTGAGCGGGCTCCATGCTTGCCGTGGTATGGCGTCTGCACAGGTAACTCAGGAAAAAAGGCGCGAAACGATTGTCTGCCCTTGCTTTCACGGAGGGAGGGAGGGAACGGGGGCCTGACGATATGTACCCAGAACCACCCGCGACAATGTTTTAGCCCCATCAGGCATTGGGATCTCAACCCAGAATTCCAATGGGCAGCGGAGACTGCGGGAACTGTGGGATAGCTACCCACAGTGCAACGCTCCGGAAGTCGACTCTAGCCTCGGTACTGTGGAAGTGCTCCGCCGAGTTAATGCACTTAATGCACTTAGAGCATTTTCTGTGGGGACACACACACTCGAATATATAAAACCGATTTCTAAAAAACCGACTTCTATAAATTCGACCTTATTCCGTAGTGTAGACATACCCTAAGAGTTATCTTGGCTCCCCTTTGAGATAACAAGCCTGGGCTAAGGAGCTGGACCCTGGTGATCAGATTTGCCCTATAGATGACTGCAAAACTAAGCTTGAGTGTCCAAAGCTGGCTCTTCAGAGTATTAAAACACCATCTCCTTTTTACCATTGTAGGTGTGTCATCCAAGAAATACAGCCATGTTCTTAAGTTAGTTCTTCAATATTCTGCTTCAAAGTCAAGTCCCTAAGAGAAGGAGTCTCATAAGTGATTAGGCTGGGCCTACAAATACAGGGGGTATCTTTTCCCTGTGAAGTGTGTCTTGGTGCCTGAAATCAGTCATACCTGTCCTCCGAAGTTAGCAGCAACCAACATGTTTGAAAGTTGCTTGGACAAAATAGCTGGTTTACCTGCCCATATTTTCAAAGCATTCAAGGAGATCCACTACTCTGAGATTATTCATCTGAATTTTATTATCAAGCTCTTTGACAAGATTAACAGCCCCTTAATTAGTTTATTGATCAAAATCATTCCTGTTGAAAGTATGACACACACAAATATAAACTAGGGACTTTTTCAGTAAGAATGCGTTTTTTGCTTTCTAAAATAGAAACAAAACCAGGGACTTTTGTCAGCCCTTGAGATGTTAGATAAGATTTATACATTTTCTAAAGAGACATTTTCACTTTTAAGTAAATATAAAGTATTTCTAGAAGAACAACCCAGTCGAGAAAATGCAGATTGGTGATACGTCTAGCTTTCTTGGATATATATATATACACCTTGGGCACATGCGTATATCATCATGTATGCAATACCTTTCTCACCTGTTCCACTCTTTATTTTATTAATTAATTTTGATGTAAATAATTTTGTATAAAGATAGCTATACAAGGCTCTGGGCCCTCCAACACTCAATTAATATTAGGTATAGACCCAGCAGCATTAAACAATCAGACAAGGACTCAGCCAGCCAGCCACCTATGAAAAAGTTCCTATTCACCCCTTCATCATTCTGGGAACATACCTGCAGCAGCCCTCTCCAAACCCCAATCAACCTGATGTCTTTTTCAGCATGCCAGGAAGGTCCCAAATCTGGGCTTTCTCAGACTAAGAGGGGGAACAATCTCCAGAGTCCTGACTCCCCCAACTCCCCCAGACAGTTACTGCTCTTATTATCATTTAGTGAAGACTATTCTGCGAAGACATTTGATTTTAAGTCATTTAATCATAGACAGCCAGAATAGAGTATACACATTTTTCAAGATGCTCTGTCACAAAGCCCTACTGAAATCCATGTCAAAACTCCTATTGACTTGAATTTTGCAGGATCAGGCCCATAGTGCTGTTCTGCTCAAAACAGCGACTGCAAAAATGGCATTGTCGGGTTAAATTACTCAGCGTCTCTCTATAATGTCCCTTTATATTTGCTCCGTTTACAAATGAAAGGATGTTTTTTCTAACTGTCGGTCCTGCAAACAGAGCCTGGGCTCATCCTTGAGCATCAGCATCCTTAACAAAGGTTCTGCCGGCCATGTGTTATCCTCAGATACACTTGTCGTGACTCCAATATCTTCAAATTATGCCCTCAGTGAAAACTATCTGTATATCGCTAGAAAGCCGAACTGCTCTGC